GTATTATAAACATCTCCTGAGGTACATTTCACAAGTATCTACATGAAGTCTATATTAAGTCTCTTGCTTAATCTAAAATACCAGGTATCTCAAGGGCATAACAGGTGACTGCCAGACCTACAGGGACTATCCCTCCCTAAAGATCACTGCCCAATGGAAAAAGGATGGGGTTTTCATTAGGTTCAGTGGACATGTCTCGCTTTTGTACAAATCTAAAAATGTTCACAACAAATGTCTATTTTACTATCTGTGATAACGAGGTACACATTTTACACTGTTTTTTTTTTTTTTCCTGCGCTGTAGCCTGGAGCAGGAAGACATTGACCAGTGTAGAAAAAAATGAGATTTGGCAGGACTCTGGTAGGCTTGGCTGTAGCACTTCTAAGAACTCCATCATACCTGAAGCATATTATCCAAGATACAACACTGTCTAGGATGAAGAGAAAGCAATCACCATTAGCAAAACTACCTTGAAATGAAGTTGTGCAGGCAGTGTTTTCCCCCAATGAATAGTCTGATTAAATGTGTGTGCATGTGTGTGTGTGTGTGTGTATGTGTGCGTGCATGCACACATACACATGCACTTGTTTCCTTCTCTAGATCCTTAGAGTCAAAATCAAAACCAGCCCCAGCTGTTCTGTATAATTAAATTTCAGTAACTCAAGCTGAGTGTTTTTATTTTGACTAGTGACTTAAAAGTGTTGGCATTTAATGGCCTCAGCTATATTTCAAAGTTAACATTGGGAAACTTCACACATATATTAGTGTTTGTCTGCTAGCAAACACAACAAAAAACCACTGCGCTGATTTACATAGTGAAGGTTATCTTTGCAAGCAGAATGACTCAGAATGTCATTATTTAAAAGCTAAGGGTGCAATTCAGCCTAGCACAGGAATTCACACAGGACTTTATGCATTTCTTGCTGCCCGTGCATAAGTGAAATTCATACTTCATACCAGTCTTGTGCACTGATCTGAATGTAAGCCTATGAAAATGCAACAAAATCTGTATCCTAAGGAAACCGATTCATACAAGCAGCCCATTAATCCCTGCACTTCAGAAGAATTCTGACTGAGCAGAAAAGGCCACTTTCCCAGTTCTGATACCAGGATTTGACCTTAATATTCTTAGGATTCTTAGGATATTCTAGTATTTTTAGGATTGATTTTAAACTTTTGCCATTCTCTTTAACTTCTGTATAAGGACCTGTCCTGTGTTTATGCTGAATCAATTACTATTTGTTGATGATTTGTGATGTGATAACTGCATATTTATCAATCTTCCCTGCAATTCCTAAATCTAGCTATTTTAATAGGACAAAATGTGAACACAAGAAGTATCAGTTGTATTACCCCAGGATAAAGAAATCACTTTTTATACATTCCTTTGCATAGAAGCAAAAGGCTACAGGAAAATGAATTTCTGTCTGGAAGTATCTTTTAAGGTCCCATTAAAGGAAAAAAATGGGTAGAAAGAGACTTCTGCCTGCTGCTCTGAAATGCAAGTTTCAGTGTGATAGAATAACCGTGGCATATGATCATTCATATGATAATGTATGTGATTCACAATAATTTGCAGATTGGAACTCCAAGATAAAATGAGTTCAACCAGTAATTTATTGAAGATCTAACTACCCTCCTCTTTCCTGCTTCCATCGATTCTTAGCTCTGTGGGAGCCTGATTGTGCAACAGATTCAGACTGTGTACTGCCTGGGTGAGAAAGGAAGGAAAGAAACCTTTGAACATCCATGGCATCTTTCACTATAATCTACATCCTGGGAATCTAAATAGATTGCATGCACAACCTAAATAGAGTGGGTGCCATTTTAAAAAATATCTTCTTTCACCTTTCCACCTGAAGCAGCTTGAGGGAAGCTTTGAAGTCTGGGTTGGAAGATTCCTTCTTCCTTGGCTGCTCTGTCAAGATCACTCACACTGAGTCTGCTATAGTGAGCATAGTTAGAACGTTGTCTTTTTTTTTTAATATATTCAAGGTATTACTTCAGTATTAATCTCTGTTAGAAGGATAGGGGCTGTATCTGGCAGCCCAGTTAATCTTGTCAGAATCTCTAGAACAGTGATTGTCAATCAGGGCATGGTGGTACCCTGAGGTGTCTTGAGTTCATTTTGAGGGGGCCTCAGAGGGCCATGTAATATTCACACAGTTAGGCATGCAAATGTGATTCACAAGATAACCCCTGAGCTTTCTAAGAGGAATCCATAGTGTTAACAACATCTCGACCTTTGGGCGATCTTTCTGAGTTTTTTGCCACAGAAAAATTGCTCTTTTTGCTTAGTCAAAAACCAAGTGGAAACTAAGAGCTGGCATTTTCTAAGGGCTGCTTTGAGTCTAATGAGGGGTTCCTTGGGTCTACAAAGTTTGAAAACAATTGCACTAGTGAAATTATTTTAGATACATCAGGGATGAATTTGGCCCTGGGCACATACTCTTAATCATAGAATCAGAATAACTATAAAGGAAAAACAGGAAAATAAAAGACTTTTCCTGCCTAAACAAACAAGGCAACGATGAATAATTATTATTGACATAGAATACCCTGAATTAATGAAGAAGGGCAACATCAAGAGCAATGCTCAGAGGAAAGAGAACTTTTTATAATTAGGATAAACAATGGCATCAATAGGGAGGCCAAAACTCATCATCCATTCATCTGATATTTGTCTTTATTACACAACATGATTGAAAGGTTAGCCTGCAGGGGCTGGGGTTAGAACATTACCACTGAAGGAAATAGAATTGTAAGAGAAGAGCCTTTCCACAAGAGGAAGAGAGGCTGTTGGAAAACAGAAATAATTTTTTTGGTGGGGGGGGTTGGATTTTTAAAATTAAAATATATTTGATAAACAAGTTTGGGCCTCCTCAGGAGAACTTGAGGGTAGAAATTTAGGGGAAAGCCATTTATGTGTGCTTATCTAAATTCAATAGAAAATATCAAACAGGAGGAGGAAAAACGTATTGCAGGAGCAGGAGCTCACATTATACAAACCCTTCCCACTAAAAGAAGTCTGGGAGAATGCAAAAGGCATTATTATTCAGTAAAACCTATAGCCTCCAGTCAGTGAATAGGAAGCTACTTGTGCACAGACACAGAGATAGAAGCATTCTGACCCCCAGAACAAGAGACGTCAATCTTTACTGAGGTACAGCATTAAGGCCTACTTTCTCCCCTCATTGATACCCATGTAACAGCAGTAGAGCTTATCCTCCTGTTCAGCATGTGAATATGGACAAGGAGCAGGGTAAATTGTAGTAAAGTGCTATTACAAGCACTATTACAAAGCAACAAGAAAATGCATTCTCCCCACCCCTGCCCCGCCCCACCAAAGCAATGCAACCCCGCTAAACCAGCAGCCTGTCCTTTGGTTCACCCTAGAGAAATCGTGGATTGGGGTGTTGGTTTGGTGCTGACCAAGTGGTAGAGATTCAGTGATGATTTGGGGGAGCTGCTTGGGGAAAATGCCAATGCCAGCAGAGACAAATTTTTTTAGGAAATCTGTGCTTGCTCTGGCCCTGGGGAAGTCGTAAAGAGATGAGTGCAGTGAGAGTCACGCTGACTTGACTTTTCAACAGGTTGACTCTCCTGTCTCTCTCTCCCAGTCGTGGTGGTCTCGGGGAAGTGTGGGGTCACTGCTGCCATCCTGTCTTGGGGCTGGGGAGAAGGGGGACGCTCCCGTGGTGCTGAGGCTGCGCAGCACGGCTGTTTCTCAGGCTGCCCGTGGGAGGGGAGGCTCTCCCGTTTCAGCACCTCTCTTTGCCGGACAGCTCCTGGGGCGGCCGCAGCCTTTCCCCGCCGGGTTCCCGTTCTCTCTCCCCCTTCCCCAAGCCGAGCTTTCTAACGCTAACCCATCCCTCTCGAGGCAAGCATTGCCATCCCTCTTCCATCTCAATCTCTGGCCGAGGTCTCTGATGAGCTCCCCCGGGCGGCTCTGAGGGCGGGCGGCACGAACAGTATGCCTTGGGGGGCGGGAGAGGAGGAAGGGCAGCCGGGAGAGGCGAGGGGAGAGAGTCTGAGGCAGATCAGCCCAGTCCGGCTTGGGCCCGGGAGGCTCGGATCCCAGCAGGGAAAAGCCGAGGAGCTTTTCAGTGGGATTAAAGCAACAGGCGGGGGGTTTCTTCCCGCCAAACAGAAGCTGTCCTCAGGCGCCCAGGCGTGTCCCCAGCCCCGGGGGTGGGGGGTGGCCCCCGAGACGGCTGTGATCCGCGGGCACCCGCTGCCGGGGACTTTGGGGCCACGGAAGAAGCGGGAGCCGCGCGGCTGGGAGGGGCGCGGGAGCGGGCCAGATGTGGGGCAGCGGCGGGCGGGAGCGCCCGCTCCCTCCTTCCCCCACCTCTCCTCCCCCCCACGCCCCGCCCGCCTCTGCCCCCTTCTGCGGGGTATTGCGGGGAAGGGGCGGGGGGGGCGTGTGTGTGTATGTATGCATATGTGTATGTATGTAGGTGGGTGTGTGTAGTGTATGTGTGTGTGTATGCATGTATGTATGTAGGTGTGTGTGTATGTATGCATATGTGTGTGTGTGGG